TTAGGTAGAGCTGCTATGTCTCCTGGAATTTGTAGAGTGGCTTTGTGTAGTAGGTGTCCTGTAGGGTCCAGTGGCTCAGCCTCCCCAGTCACCTGAGCTGGGCCTTCTAGGTGCTCCCGTGTGGGCTGTGTGCACTGTCCTGTTGTAGTTGAGCCTTGTTTGCTGTTGGCATCCCTGGGAGGAACTGACCCCCAGGCCAATCAGCTGTGAGGACCAGCTGCAACTACAGCCAAAAAGCTGCTCTGCTGGAGACACCCCTATAGATCAGGATTTACTTCATTGGAGCTTTGGTGTTTACCAGGTACGCCCCTTGAGTGTCACTCGTGGATGTGGTAGGGTTGTAATCCAGCGTGGTCGAGTCTGACCACCAGGTGCACTGTCTCTGGGGCCTGGGGGGAGGTGCAAAGTCAGCCTGTGCCAGTGCCTTGCCCAGGGCCACCCAGCATGAGCTACACTGCAAACCATAGTTGGCTGCTACTTGTGCTGGGCTTTGCGTTGTCCAGGAGAGGCCAAGCAATGAGCCAATGCAGGCTGCCGCCAGTGCCAGGCCTGGGGCCACTTATTAAGCCCTATGGGGCCTGCTGCTGCTTATTTGAGAGATTTTAGGAAAGTCCTAAGCATGAGGCCCAAGAGGCCACTTACACAGAAAAGCCTCTGGAAATGGCCTGGATGAGCTGCAGGTGGGGAGGGGCGGGGCCAAAGGTGTGAGTCAGGTGCTGGCGATTCAAATATGGCCCCTGCCTGCGGCTCTGTGTGGGGAGGACTCGCCAAAGGAGCAATGGCCTCTGTCAGCTCTTCTGCCTGGGAGGAAGCTTCCCCTCCACCTCCCGGATTTCAGGCAGGTTAGTTCCTCCGCAAGTGTCCCCGGTTCCTTTCAAGCTGCTGCCCGGCGCTGGGCTCAGAGGGAGCGCGTCTGAGTGAGTCCATGCATGGGCCCTTTAAGAGGAAAGCCTGGGGCTCCCGCAGCCTCCACGACTCTCAGCAACAGTCCCCGCTGGTTTCACAGCCCGGAGTTGTGGGGGCGTCTCTTCCCGGCCTGAAGCCCTGGGCTGGGGGCTTGCTGTGGGGCTGGGACCCCTCCGTCCTCGGGGAAACCTCCACCACCGAGATTCCCTCCCGGGTTTCAACTGTGGCACCGGCTGTGGGCCCGCGGCCACGTCTGCACAATTCAGCCCCGATCTGCCCGCGTCTGCGCCTGTCCTACCGGCCTTGGTGCTTCTTCAGTTCCCTGGTTGTGGGACTTCTGTTCAGCCAGATTTCAGGAGGTTCTGAGTGATGGTGGTTCTGTATTTTAGTTGTAATTTTGATGTGGTTGCAGGAGGCAGCAGGTGCAGCTGTTACCTACGCCGCCATCTTGTTTCTCACCTAAGGTTTATGTGCTATTTACTTTTAAAAGCTAAAGAAGAGGTTTTTCAGCACTGTGGCTGTTCTCTCCCATTCCCCCAACATCTTTGGAATTGAGACTTTCAGCAAGAATATCCATTGTCACAGTGGAGAAAGGAAACTATCTCCAGAATTATTATTTTTTATTTTTCTTATTAAATTTATTGGAGTGACATTGGTTAATAAGATAGATTATATAGGTTTCAAGTGTACATTTCTATGATACATGATCTGGGACCTTTAGAATATTATGCTTAGCGAAATAAGTCAGTCAGTAAAAGCTAAGAACGATATGATTTCATTCCTGTGGGATATAAAACTGAAACTCATAGACACAGACAACAGAATGAATGGTGGTTACCAAATGAAGGGGTTGGGGGTAGTAAAGGGTAAAGGGGGCGAAATAAATGGTGATAGAAGATAAAGGAAACTAAAGAAATCCATTTTCAGAATATAAATCAAAATAGTTGAGAGGGAAAGATATTGTGAATTCATTCATTCAGAAGGTGCCAGATTATCCTGTGGATTTCTCCACATTTTCAAAGTTAAAAGAAATTGCTATTGGCTTTGTTGAGCTATTCTTTCTTGCTTGGTACACTGTCATTAGCACTGACAGATTCAGTACAGATGTTTTTTGTAGTATCTTCCTTTTACTTGCCATTTTATGTCTTGTGTTCGAGAATTTGATAGTTCTTGGCCATTGAAAACTTCTAAACTGGCTAGGTGTGGCTCAGTGGTTGAGCATCAACCTAGAATCCAGGAGGCCCAGGTTCGATTCCTGGTCAGGGCACGTGGTCAGGGCACATGCCCGGGTTGCAGGCTCGATCCCCAGCAGGGGTCGTGCAGGAGGCAGCCAATCAATGACTCTCTCATCATTGATGTTTCCATCTCTCTCCCTCTCCTTCCTCTCTCTGAAATCAATAAAGATATATTGAAAAAAGAAAAAAGAAAACTTCTAAAGACTTCTACCTAGCACAGATGAAAGCAAGCTTATTATGTTAAGTGTAAGAATAGAAGTAAAGTTCTGCCAGATTAGGCAATTGGGTGGCTTTTTACTTCAAAATTCACTTTAGTTATAATACTCTATTCCTTTAAGAGCTCACAGATTAGAAAACATAAGGATTAAAATGAAAAGAAGGTAAAGCACCTCCTGAGTTTTCTCAACATTTTGTTATTAAAATTTTTGAACTTACTGCAAAGCTGAATTATTCAGTGAATAATCATATACCCACCACCTAGACATTAACATTTTTATATACTTGCTTTATCACCTATCTGTTTATCTCTCCATCCAGCAGTCAGTCCATCTTGGATTTTTTAAATGCTTTTCAAAGAAAGTTGCAGGTATTAGTACATTTCCTTCTCAATATTTGAGCATAATTAACTAGACTTCAGTATTGGTATATGGCTTCTTCCACCCCTTTGGTATTTTTATTTTATAAATCTTCATCCGGAAGATTAGTAAAAGTTACAGGAAGAGAGATTACAGAAAAAAGAAGGGAAGAAATTCTCTAAGAAATAATACAAGAAAACTTGATGGAGTTAAAGGGAAACGGAAGTCTTACCTGGTAAGACCCTGTAGAGTATCAAAGACCAACACCTAGACAGATCAGTGTGAAATTTCAGTATACCAATCATAAAAAGAGGATTCTGAAAGATTTCAGAGAGAAAAAAGTAAGTGACCTCTAAAGGAACAACAATCAGAAAGCATATTTTCTATGAGAAATCCAGATGGTAGAAGCAGGTAGAGCAATGCATGCTTTTAAAGCTCTGAGGGAAAATAATCTTAAACCTAGCTTTCTATTTATAGCAGTATTATCAATCAAATATTAGGGCAGAATAAAATATTTTCAGAAATATAAGAATTCAGAACATTTTTCTCTCTCCCTTTTCTTAGGAAGTTACTTAAGGATATACTTTACCAAATTGAAGGTGGAAAAACATAAGATCTAGGTTAGAGTGCCTCTAACTCAAGTACTCAGTGAAGGAAAGCCCAGGACAGGAGTTAGCCTAGAGAGCAGAAAGTCCAGTTTGGAGAAGGAAAGGAGATCTTCAGAGGGGGCGAGAAGGATTCAGTAGAATACATAGTAAGATTGAAAGGTTGGAAATTTTGAGAAATGACAAAGTCAGAGAATACTAGAGAAAGACATGCTTAGATATAAAAGCAAGGTAAAATGGAGCATGATTTTGAAACTGGTGGAGTATAAAAAAGAATTCATTTGAACTTGACAGTAGAAACCTTTGAGAGACATGGTGTTAACATTGGAATCTTTGTGAAAGAACTGTATTTCTATCACAGTATTTGGTTCTGCAATGAATTGTATTTACAAAGTTATAATATAAGCATTATAATGAAATTTTTTTTATAATCCTTGCCCAAGGATATTTTTTCCATTGCATTTTAGAGAGTGGAAGGGGGGCGGGGAAGAAGAAACAAGAAACATCAATGTGAGAGAGACACATAGATTGGTTGCCTCCCGAAGGAGCCCTGACCTGGGCCGGGGATCTAGCTTGCAACCAAGGTACGTGCCCTTGGCCGGAACTGAACCTGGAAAGCTTCAGTCCATGGGCTGTTGCTATAACCACTAAGCCAAACCAGCTAGGGCTATAATGAATTTTCAGGTGAAGTTTAAAGAGCCCTGGCCAGTGTGGCTCAGTTGGTTGGGCGTCCTCCTGTGCACCAAAGGGTTTGATTCCCAGTCAGGGCACATGCCTGGGTTGTGGGGTTGGTCCCCTAGGGGCTGTGGGGGAGGCAGCCATTCCATGTTTCGCTTTCACATCAGTTTCTCTCTCTCTCTCTCTCTCTCTCTTTCTTCCCATTTCTAAAAATCAATTGAAAATCTTTTTTTAAAGAAGTAGAGGTTTAAAGTTTTTTAAATTTTAAGTTTAATCTCTTTACTTGCTATTGATCTATTCAGATTTTCTTTTTACTTTTTCTTTTTTTTTCTTTTTTCTTTTTTGTAGTCAGACTTAGACAATTTTTTTTCCTGAATTTGGACTCAATTTCTACTGATCTTTCAGTGCCTTGACTTGGATTCTTTTTCTACTTGAGTGAGTTTGATAATTTGAGTCTTTCTAGAAATTTGCCTATTTCCTCTAAGTTATCTTATTTGTTGGCAGTTTTATTTTTGTGAAGTTGGTCATGATTTCCCTTCTTTCATTCCTGATTTTAGGGTTTTTTTTGGTGGGGAGGGGTCTGGCTGAAGGTTTATTAATTTTATTGATCTTTTCGAAGAATCAACTTTTGGTTTTGTTGATTTTCTCTATTATAATTCTGTTCTCTATCTTACTACTTTATACTCTAATCCTGTTTCCTTCCTTCTGCTTGCTTAGTTTACTCTTTTTCCAGTATCTTAAGGTGGAAGGTTAGGATATTTAAAATTTTTCTAATGTGGGTATTTAAGCCATAAATTTCCCTTTACACATTGCTTTTGCTGCATCCGTAAGTTTTGGTGTTTGTGTCTTTATTTTTATTCATCTCAAAGTATTTTCTGATTTCCCTTGTGATTTCTTTGACTTACTGGTTATTTAGGAGTGTAGTGTTTAATTCTCACATATTTGTGAATGCATTTATTTTTAAATTTTGGAAACAACTGATAGACTGATCATTGAAGATGTATCAGTAACTACAAAATAGAGTATAAATGTCTCACAAAAAGTAAAAGGTAAAAGAAAAGGAATAGCTGACAGAGGTGGGGAAGTAGACATGGAGGGAGAAGATATAAAAGGACACATGTCCTCATTTAACAAAGTAGAAAGTTAAGAGATACAGTCTGTGGTTGATGGAACAGGAAATGAAGGTTTAAGTATGTTTTGGACTTTGTACTGTATTGTCACATTTGTCATAAATCAGGTGAAGTACATATGTGTTTTAAATACATGAATGTATTACTTGAATTGGCAATTTAAACATTAATCTTCATGGGGTCTCTAAATTAGCTTAACCTTTAGTTGCCAGAGAGAGAAAATAATCCTAGAACTACAACTACTAGTATTTTGACGACTTCTTAAAGAGAAATCATGATGGCAATTTGTTAGATGTTGTCTCTAATATATTCCTGGTTCTTGTTTTGGTAAGCTTATTTTGTTGATTTGTTTTCTTGTCTTTCGCAGACTGAGGCAGCTAAATTAGTTCCAATGGGTTTTACCACTGCAACTGAGTTCCACCAAAGGCGATCAGAGATCATACAGATTACAACTGGCTCCAAAGAGCTGGACAAACTACTTCAAGGTGTAGTAATCCCTTATCCAATGTTATGAACTGCAGTTAGCAAAGCATCTGGGTCATAAAACTAAAGTATATGGGTAGGATTTATGTGTTAAGTGTGATTAAGAGATAAGAGAAGTATTCACATTGATGAAGTAAGACGGCTGCAGGGTGGGACGTGACTTATAAAATACTAAAGTTATCTGCCAACTAAATAATTTAAACTCTAATATTGCATTCAGATAGTAAGTTCCCTCTGCCTAAAGAAATAATTTTAACCTTCTACTTTAACGCAAGTTTGAGAATCTGGTTTCTGATTAAGATACTCCATGTTTGAATACTACATTATAGTATATACTAATCTTTAGGACTTTATGGAAAGCTGTAGTTTTTTGTTGGTGGTTGTTTTTAAGCTTTTATTTTTTAATTTTAGAGAGCGAGGAAGGGAGAGAGAGAGGGAGAGAAACATTGATTTGTTGCTCCACTTATTTATGTATTCATTGGTTGGTTCTTGTATGTTCCCTGACCTGGGATCTAACCTGCAACCTTGGCATATCGGGAGGAAACTCTAACCAATTGAACTACCCTGCCAGGGCAGAAAGCTGTCATTTTTCAAATTTTGAAAGCATTGGTGTCCTAAGTTAGGTTTGATTCTTGTTGCTTCCCCAAATATTTAATCAGTCAAGTTTTCTCTCGTTTTTTTTTTAGAGTGCAAAATAGCATAAGTTCAGGAATCACACTTAAATTTGAGTGTTAGCCCTCCCTCCTGTACCTCTGCATCCTCCTGTAAATGTCTTTCTGATGAGCTCCAAGAACATTTCTATGATTATTGTTTCTAAACATTTGTATTGTGCTAAGAGGTTCTTTCTTATTGCCCCATTAGGAGGAATTGAGACTGGATCCATAACAGAGATGTTTGGAGAATTCCGAACTGGGAAGACCCAGATCTGTCATACATTGGCTGTGACATGCCAGGTGAGCTATTGGGCCTCTAACTAATCATATCAGCAAGAACGGGTTGATTTTCACTGTTTTCAAGCATATGTTGGGATGGGCATGAAGGCATGTTCTCTGTCCTCAAGAATCCTATGTGCTAGTTAAAAGATAGATTCCTACTGTAAAATTCTTCCACATCATACAGAGCATTGATTTCAAATACTTTCTTACCATCCACTAGGCCTCCCCTGGCTTTATCTTCCCTCTTCACTATTCTAGATTTTATGATTCATCATTAAAGTCATTCCTTTACCAGTACCCTCAGATTTACATCCTATATCTGAAGAGATGCTAATCTCAATGAATCCTGTCTTCTCAATGTCTATTCTCAAATAGCTTATCATACTGGAGAAAAATCATACCATAAAGCTGATTGACTTCACTTTAAGATGACAAACTTTTGGTTAACATTCAGTACTGCTTAGCAGATCCACCGAGGTTCTCCATTTGGGCATACTTTTTCCCACTCAGTAAGACAGCTTTATCATTTCTTCTTGAGCCTTCATGCTCTTCTGTAACACTCACTCTTAGCCAGTGGCTTAACGTGTTCTTCATATCAAATCCATGAATCCACCTACATTTATACCCACCTTTTCTTATCTTGGGTTACAGTGGAGAAAGTCCTTTCCTCTCAAAGGCCCATCCTTACCAGTGTGCTCTGGTTACTGTCTCCTGCCACCTCAAGGACTTCTGTTTTCTGCTCTACCTCTGTATAAGATGATCCTTATCAGGATACAAACTTGCCTAGTATCTCCATTAGAAAAAAACCTCCCCTGGACCCTTTCAGTTTTTTGTTCCTTATCTCCCATTTACAGGCACATTTGAAAACAGACACAGTAAGTTAAATAATTGCCTAAAATCATACTACATTTAAGTACTAGTAGATACAGGAGTCAAACCCAGCCTCAGAGCCAATGCTCTTAACCTTCATACGAGTAGAAAGTAACTGGCTTGTTCTTTGCTGTATTGCTAGTGCCTAAATCAGTGCTTGGCACTCAGTAAATACTTGGCTGGATGGAAATGATAGAATAGATATCCTAAGGTATACCTGATATAAAATAAATGGCATAGAGGAAGTTGCATAACTGTTTAAGGAAGAGAGAAGGATTACTTCACCCTAGAGTAATTATGGAATACAGAGAAAAGAGATGAGACCAGATTCCTGAAGAATGCTAAATTTGAAAAGGTAAAGAAATTAAACATTTAACTGTAGGGAACGGTATGAACAAAAGTGCAGGGGGAGGGAGGCATAATGTACTGAGAAGACAATAAACCCAATTACCTAGTTCAGAGGTTTTATTTGGAGAAGTTGTAGGGGATAAAACTTAAAAGGCCACATCAAGACCATATTTTAGAAGGTCTTGAATCCAGTATAAGAAGCTTACACTTGATTCTGTAAAGAGTGGCGATTATTCAGTGTTTTCATCTAACGCATAACATGAGCAAAATTTTCAGAAATATTCTGGTAACAACCTACTGTATGACTTGAAAGGAGACGCAAGAGCTGAGGATATTGATGTATGATTACTATAAGCATTAGCTGATCAGGCCTAAATTAAAAAAGTGACACTGAAGGGATCTAGTCAGAAGATATAAAGGGCAGCACTTAATGGTTGACAATAAAAATACCCCTCAACCCTGGCTAGGTAGCTCAGTTGGTTAGAGCATCGTCCCGATATAACAAGGTTGCAGGTTCAATCCCAGGTCAGGGCACATACAAAAATCAACCAATGAATACATAAGTGGAACAACAAATTGATATTGCTCTCCCTTCCTCTCTCCCTCTAAAATCAATAAAAAAATTTTAGAAGGATAGGAAAATATTCTGGGTCTATATGAATAAAAGTTTATCTAACAGCAAGAGGCCCAACTTGATCATCTGTTTTTCTCTTCCTTTTTCATTCATCATTTTAATGGTTTCTTCCTTCGGTTGCTCTACTGATCTTTTCATTGTAGACCAAAGTGTCACCATATGTCTTATGAGAGCCAAATTATCAAGTAGACAGACCTAAGTCGTTGGCTCTCCTCATAAATAATTCTGCAGAGGAAAGAGTTAGGGGGATAGGAGAACTTTTTTATGAGAAAAAGAATGGTAGTAAGCTGTGGAAGCTATAGCTTATTGCCTGAGCACCATTAGAAAATTGTTAGCTAAAGGGAAATAGTACTGTTTAAATTATTGCCCTCACACGAGTCATTTGACATGATATGTGACCCATTGAAATAGAAATGTTTTCCCCATGTTGTTCTGCCAGGGATTCATGTGGAATAAATATTTAGAGTATAGTACACAATACTTACAGTTACCAGGGAACTCAGCATGTCACACTGATGCTCTTAAATTGTATAAACAATTCTATCCTGGGAATGTTTATTAAGTAGTCAGTATTGCCTGTCAACAATAAACTGAAGCAAAATTCTCAAACATATCCTCTCTGTAAAAATAACATTCACAGGTGGCTGAATATCTTTTTTCAGAGAAAAACAATGTTAATTCATTAATAATTGAAGGGATTACATTTCACCAGCCCAACAGCTAGAACCAGAGGTATATGGAGAACATTAGATTACTACTAAAATCTAAACATCTGCTCTCATTTGTTCAGATTTTCTTAACTTAATGAAGTGAAGCCCCATTATGTGTGAGATCTCTGTCCTATAGTGAAGTTATAAAAAGTTGAGAACCAGTTAGGTTACAAAGACATGAGCAACTCCTGCTTGTTCAAAGTACTAGAGTAATTTTAAAATTCTGAGAATACAATTTAACATAAGTACCAGTTTGAAATGCACATGCCCTTTGACAGAAAATGTGACTTTCAGAACTTTTCACATATGGTCAAGTATAAATGTACAAAGAATTTACACAACAGCATTATGAAATGGTGAAAGTTTAAAACAACACGCATCACTATAAAATAGGAAGAAAAATTAGATTATGGTACTAAGCAGTTATTTAAAAAGCTAACTTGCTGGTGTGCCAGTCCAGTAACAGTGGCATTGGGAGAGCAAGGTGGAGGAGACACAATGCGCTGGAGTGCAGAGCACGTAGTCCATCCCCTTGAGACTGGCCCAACAATACACTGGGATCTTGTCCATGCCTCTGCTGTCAGTCTGCCTACCTGTGTCCAGCTACCTGTGGCATCCCTTCCTCCCTTCTACCTAGCTGGAAAAGAAACCCTTCTCATGCTAGAACTAAAGATACTAGAAAGTGAAAGAAAAGGCAGCCTCATTTATCTTAATTCCTGGGGACGAGCCTGAATGTCAAGATTTTCTCCTCCCTCAAAAACTGAGGCAGCTTCTGCTTTCTTTCCCCTTGGTCAGTAGTTCCAATCCTTTTCTTTGTCAAAACCCTCTTTTGTTGTATACATATCCTTTCCTCCTTCCATGGATTCCTGTGATTTGAAAGGTTTTATCTGCTAAGCTGCCAAATGATAGCAATCATTTTTCCCTTTGCAAATTAACAAAGCCTGCCATGACTGAGTATATGCTAAAGTCAGTGCCCTAGAGGTAGAAAATATCCTAAGTCTTCAAAGTGCTTTCTGTCCATCAGGCACTGTGCTAAACACTTAACATAAATTATTTCCTCTTCAGAACAATCCCAGAAGGTGGGTTTTATCTACATTTTACAGAAAAGGAAACAGAATATTCTTAGGGACACATAGTAAGTGTCAGAACCACATGTAATAAAAAGTGCTTGTGTGACAATGCATAGAAAATGACCTGGAAGATTACTTCTGGGAGATGGGAATGATGAAGAGAGCTTTCAATTTTTACTCTACTTTTTCTGTATTTGAATATTTAATATAAGCATATAGTACTTTTGTAATTTTGAAAATAAAGTTTTTTCTCAGAAATAGGAAAAGGAAAAAAAACTTGATGCTACCTAGTCCTTAATGTAAAATATCCTAAGGGATTTTCCTCAGAATTTATAGGTGAATTATGGCTCCACAGTAGATGTCTAGGGTAGAAACTACCTTTAGCATCATTCACCTAAAATCTTTAGAACTCAAAGGTGTCTGGCATGGGTTGGGTAGCTTAAAGCAGAGATTTCATGAGCAGAGTAGCTCATGAGACAGTTTTCATGGCATTTCTTCCTTTTTTTAACTTTTTCTATTATTTATTTTTCCTTTTTCTCCTTTTTAACATCTATATGTACTATTGGAACAAACACCTTTTTCTTCTTTCTTGCTCATACACTAAACTTGCTAGGAATGCATTTGGGGCATTGCCAAGCTCCCTTAGTAACTCACAGAATGAACTCTGCTCAATCAAGTGAAGTGTAAGTGTGGTTTGGACAGACATGCTATACTTAATTGGGTATTGGATCAGGCTCTCTTACTTATTAAAGTTAAGGCAAATGATCTTCCAAATGTTTGTACTTTTTTTTTTTTTTAAATATGTCTTTATTGATTTCAGAGAGAGGATGGGAGTGGGAGAGATAGAAACATCAATGATGAGAGAGTCATTGATTGGCTGCCTCCTGCACGCCCTGCACTAGGGATTGAGCCCGCAACCCGGGCATGTGCCCTGACCGGGAACCGAACCACGATCTCCTGGATCCTAGGTCGATGCTCAACCGCTAAGCCACACCGGCTGGGCTAAATGTGTGTACTCTTGAAAGGACTGATCAATCTTATGTTGATATGCAGTCATAGAATTTTATCACGTACTTTGGACTATATTTCCAAGCAGCCAACTCTGGCAAGACTTCTAGCTTTACATGGTATGGGACACAGTGAGCTTCATATCTTTTATTAGCTGTATTTCTCTCAGAAGGAAATGCTCTCCTTCCTACCTCTGATTGTCACTTTGAAGTTTTGGGGTTTTTTTCCCTTTGCCTTACTGGAGGTGGGGGGAATTTATAGAATCATTGGTAAGTGGGTCAGTTATAGTGTTCATTTCTACTGTTCTTTTTGTTCTCTCTAGCTTCCCATTGACCGAGGTGGAGGTGAAGGAAAGGCTATGTACATTGATACCGAGGGTACCTTTAGGCCGGAACGTCTGCTAGCTGTGGCTGAGAGGTAGGTTTCTGCATTAAATGAGAAAAGTATGGCTGTACCTGTAACTGTCGTGATTACCAGGGTTAGTATGGCTGAATAGTGTCTTTTTCTCTTACTACTCCATATTCCAAAGTTGTATGTATGTAGTAGAGAAAAGCATTATGTAGTCAGAAACCTATGAGTTGCTCCCAGACAGGATGAAGAAACAAGATCCAACTATATGCTGTCATCCAAAGAAACATTTTAGGTTCAAAGACTCAAATAGGGTGAAAGTAAAAGGATGAAAAAAGATTTGCATGCAAACAGTAACCATTAGCGAATTCTAGTTGCTACACTATTATCAGACAAAATAGACTTTAAGACACACACAAAATATTACTAAGGACAAAGAAGAACATTTTATAACTAAAAGGTCAGTTCATTGGGAAGGTACAACTATTACAAACATACACATCTAATAACTGAGCCCAAAAATACGTGAAACAAAAACTATCATAACTGAAGGGTGAAATAGACAATTCAACCATAATAGTTGGGGACCAATATCTCACTCTCAATAATGGATGGAACATTTATCAGATGCCCTGATAAAGAACAACTGCAAAAAACCTATAGCTTGCATCATACTTAATGGTGAAAGTTTGAATGCTTTCTTCTTAAGATCAGAAACAAGGTAAGGGTGTCCATTTTCACCACGTATATTCCACATGGTACTAAAGGTGCTAGCCAGTGCAGTCAGGCAAGAAAATAAAAGACATCCATATTGGAATGGAAGACATAAAACTCTTTATTCGCCAATGACATGGTCCTGTATGTACAATATCCTAAAGAATCTGTACATACAAAAAAAAAACCTACTAGAACTCAGTTCAGTAAGATGGTAGGCCTCAAGATCTGTGTTTCTATGTATTAGCAATGAGCAATTCAAAACTTAAGAACAGTCCCATTCACAGTAGCATCAAATATAATATTTAGTAATTGAACAGAAGTGCAAGACTGGTCCACTGGAAACTACAAAACATTACTGAGAAATTGAAATTTGCATAAAGAGAGAAACATTCCACATTGATCTATGGATTCAGCACAATCCCTATTGAAATTACAGCAAACTTTTTTGCAGAAACTGAGAAGCTGATTATAAAATTTATATGGAAATGTCAAGGACTCAGAATAGCCAAAACATTTTTTGGGGGGGAAACTGGAGGTCTTAGTCTTTCCAATTTGAAAACTTACTATAAAGCAACAATAATTAAAACAGTGTGGTGCTGGCATAGACATATGGATCAATGGAACAAAATTGAGAGTACAGAAATAAACCCTCTCATTTATAGTCACATGATTTTTGACAAAGGTACTAAGGCAATTTAATGGGGGAAATAGTATTTTCAATAAAGGGCTAACGTAGTTGGATATTCACATCCAAAAAGATGTATTTAGACCCTTATCTTACACCATATGTAAAAATTAACTAAGAATGGATAATAGTCTGGTGAATCCTCAAAAAATTAAACGTAGAATTACAGTATGATCCAGCAATTCCAATTCTGGTTATATACTCAAAAAAATTGAAAGCAGGGACTCCAACAGATACTTGTATACCAATGTTCATAGCACACTATTCACAATAGCCAAACGGTGGAAACAATCCAAGTGTCCATCAACAGATGAATGCATAAACAAAATGTTGTATGTACATACAATGGAATATTATTCAATCTCAAAAAGGAAGGAAATTCTCACACATGCTACAGCATAGATGAACCTTGAAAATATGCTAAGTGAAATAAACTAGTTGCATCAAGGACAAATATTATATGATTCCTTTTATATGAGGTACTTAGATTAGTCAAATTCATAAAGACAAATTAGAATGGTGGTTTCCAGGGACTAGAGTGAGGAGAATGGGGACTTACTATTTAATGGGTATAGAGTTTCAATTTGGAATAATGAAAAAGTTATTTGATAATGATGATTGCACAACAATGGGAATGTACGTATTGCCACTGGACTATATATTTTTTAAAGGTTAAAATAGTAAATTTTCTGTTATGTATATTTACAATAACTTTTTTAAAAGATGATAATCTTAAATGTAAGAGCTAAAGCTATAACACTTACAGGGGAAAAAGAAACAGAAGAAAAATCTGATAAGGTTCTAGTATCCAGAATATATAAATAATTCTTACAACCAGACAATAAAATGATAACCCAATTTAAAAATGGGCAAAGAGCCCAGCCAGGCGTGGCTCAACGGTTGAGCATTGACCTAGGATCCAGGTGATCGATGTTCAATTCCTGGTCAAGGCACATGCCCTGGTTGTGGGTTCGATCTCCAGTGGGGGATGTGCAGGAGGCAGCCATTCGATGACTTTCTCATCACTGATGTTCCTATCTCTCTCTCCCCCTCTCTTCCTCTCTCTGAAACCAATAAAGATATATTTTAAAAAACCAAAAACTAGTTACCTCTAAACTCTAAAAATAAATAAGTAAATAAAAATGGGCAAAGATTTGTAAAGACATTTCTCCAGAGAAGATACACAAATGGCCAATAAGCACATGGTAAGATATTTACCATCATTAGTCAAAGGAAATGCAAATTGAAACCATGGTGAAATACCACCATTGGGATGGCTGTAATAAGTAAAGATAGTAACACACCCTGGGCAGGTGGCTCAGTTGCTTGGAGCGTCATACAAGTACACCAAAAGGTTTCGGGCTTGATTCCAGGTCAAGGCACATACCTAGGTTGCGGAGGTTGGGGCATGTACAGGAAGCAACCAATCAATGTTTCTCTCTCTCTCCCACTCTCTCCCTCCTCCCCTCCTCCTCTCTCTCTCTTCTCTCTAAACATATCCTCTGGTGAGGATTAAAAAAAAAAAAAAGTAACAAGTGTTGGGGAGGATGTGGAGAAACTGGAACCCTAATACATTGCTGGTGAGAATGTAATTGCTGGTGCAGTCAATTTGGAAAAGAGTATGTCAGTTAAACAAATTTACCTTATGGCCCAGCAATTTAATTCTGGTTATGTACCCAAGAGATGTCCACATAGAGACCTGTGTGTGGATTTTTATAGTATTGTTATAATTTCCAAAAACTGGTAACAACCCATTGTCTATCACTTGGGGAATGAATATACAAGATTTGGTTTATCCATTATATAGTATTTCCAGGATATATGAAATACTATTAAACCATAAAAAGGAGTGAAGTACCAATACATATTACAACATGGAGGAACCTCAAAAACATACTAAAGGTAGAAGCTAGACATATTGTATATGATTCCATTTATATGAAATTTCCAGAAGGGGAAAATCTATAAGGATAGAAGATCAAGTAGGTGCCTGGGGTTGGGAGTAGGAACAAAACTAACTGCAAATAGACTTAAGATCTTTTGGGGGTGATGGAAATGTCCTAAAATTGGATTGTGATGATAGTTGTACAATTCTGCACATTTACTAGAAAGTCATTGAATTTTACATTTAAAACAAGTCAATATTATAGTATTAAATTACACCTCAGTAAATGTGGTTTAAAAAAAAATTTATTATTTTTTTTTTTTTTAAATTTTCACCAGAGGATATTTTTCCCATTGCTTTTCAGAGAGAGTTGAGGGGGGGCATTGATGTGAAAGAGACACATCGATTGGCGGCCTCTCCACTCTCATGCCAACTGGGGCCGGAGATCGAGCCTACAACCGAGGTACATGCCCTTGGCCAGAATCAAATCTGGGACCCTTCAGTCCATGGGCTGATGCTCTAACCACTGAGCCAAACCAGCTAAGGCTGGTAAAGAATTTTAAGTTTCTGCATCCTAATACAACTTTCAAATAAGCTCTCAAAAGTATTTTACTTGGGAGAAAAAGGGATATCTGTAATATTTTAAACAAACGACAACAAAAAGTATTTTACTTATTTTCCCTTGTATAGGGCCAAATGTGATCATTTGGTCCCTACCACACATTTTACTGAAACTTAGTGATTAAATAGAATTTAATTACATGTTGAGATGCCAGGCTCAAGTTGGAACCTGCCTGGCTAAATTAAGAATTTTCTTTTCTAGTTTTATAATTAACCAAATTCTCTTTCCCCGTTAACAATTTGAGGAGTCCAAGCCATGGGTTAGGTACACCATTGGGCATAAAATTAGGTTGGAATAATAGTTGTAGCTCTGCCTCTGGCTTATAAAACCCCTGTCACGAAAAAAGAATTACTCTCTTGCAACCTGATCTTAGTTTTCTAAAGATGTGTATACTAAATTGTATCTTCCCTCCCGAAGTTGTTTTTGGTGGTCTTGTACAGAAATCACACTTAAAATTTTTAAGTACACTATTTTAGTAGTTGAAAAGTTCTCTTTTGGATAGTCGTTAAGATTTTGTCCAGTAACGTGAGTATTCATATAGGATAGATGAGATAGTTGAATGTTGGCTTTGAGGACAGGGACTTTGTTTTGATCACTCACATTATCCCTAAGCCCTAGAACAGGGCATTCAGAATGAATTAATATTTATTAAGTAGAGCCATGTTTATGACTATTATGTCAACTAAAAGAAAACTTTAAATTTCATTAATTAATTTTAATAATTTCTACCTATAATTGAATTTCTATTTATGTGTATTGCACTTAAATTTATATTTCTGAGAAACTTACAGGAGGGCCTCCTTAAGCTAATACCTAATTTCCCTTCATAACAGAACAGCCCTTGCTGATTAATTTTTGCCGTGCCCTGTTGAAGATTATCCACATTCAAGTGATTGTAGCTGAGGGTTCTCAGAATGTGGTCTTCAGTACAGCTACATTAGCATCACCTGGGAAGTTTCAAATGCACCAGATACACTGAATCAGAAACAGAGACTCTGAGGATAGGGTTCAGCAATCTGTTTTAACAAATTCTCCAAGTAATCAAGGTGCTTGAGAACCACGGCCACAATTGCTAGCTACAGTGTCACCATGTTTTTTGCAAGTTTTTTCCAGCACTATGAGAGAGAGAATGACAGAATCCCCTTGAGGTGATACAGCTGAGTTTTTCAAATGTATATGTTAAGAATCACCTGAGGTGTTTGTTAAATATATAAATTAGTATGTGTCTTTCTTGAAAATTGTGATTTATTAAGTCTTGTTTAGCCCAAGAATTATTATTTTATTTAAATATATTTTCCTTTATTTCAGAGAGAGGAAGGGAGAAAAAGTTGAAACATCAATGTTGAGAGAGTCATTGATCAGCTGCCTCCTGCACGCCCCCTGCTGGGGATCAAGCCGAAAACCCTGGCACGTACCCTGACTGGGAATCGAACCTCGATGTCCTGGTTCCTAGGTTGATGCTCAACCACTGAGCCACACCATCTGGGCTAGAATTTTTTTTTTTTAACAGGTGTTCTAGATTATTCTCATCTTTGAGGAAGTTCTGGAAACACTATAAGAGGGATGCTTATTTCCAACCAACTTTTTCCAAATTGTGGGAATTGGAAATTCCATGTTGCTTTAGGAACTTAAGCACAGAGATCCTCATAGTCGTCTTTGGGAATGCTGCTAAGAGAAAAGCCATGGTAGCTCTTTGTTTTTTTGGTAAACCATCCATGCTCTCATAGCAAAAGATATTCTCTTCCTGAAAGTAGATTACATCAATGTTTATTGAGGCAAGACTAGAAGACTTATATAGTATAATACTTAGGCCTCTTGAATCTTTTTAAAAATCTTACAGCCGTAATTTAAATATGGAAAATTTTGTCTCCTATTCCCATTTTATTTGGTCAGGGTCCCAAAGTAAAATTCTGTTCTCACTCCATCTCCTTATTTTCATGCCCAGACGTAATTACTGATTCATCATCATCAGTCCAGTTAATGCCAGGGCTAACCTTTCATTTATGTTGATGGTGGTGAAAAATGGCAGATGAAATGTCCTGGAAAGTGCCAGAACTATGTGTTCCTAATATGAAGAATCCATTGTATGCTATGGAAAAGGTAGTTGGGTAGAGTGGAATCTCCTGATATGGAGATTTAGCTTATTGCAGTGTTATTTCAAGTGCTAGGACATTGTTTTGTTTTTCTATTCTTTTTGGGAGGAAAACTAATTAATAAAGCTAAGTTTCAGAAAAAAAGTTTTGACGGTTTGTTTTTGTAATGATCAGTCTCCACATAGAATAGACTGCTTCTTTAATAACTGATGAAATCGCCCGACCTGTGTGGCTCAGCAGTTGAGCATCGACTTATGATCCAGGAGATCGAGGTTTCATATCCGGTCAGGGCACATGCCCAGGTTTCGGGCTCGATCCCCAGCAGGGGGTGTGCAGGAGGCAGCCGACCAGTGATTCTCATCATTGATGTTTCTGTCTCCCTCTCCCTTCCTCTCTCTGAAATCAATAAGGATATGTTAAAAATATATATATATATATATTCTTTTAAAAAAACCTGGTAGAATCATAAACATAGAAACGTTTGGTTCTCAAAGAATTATAGCTCATTGATTTTTTTAAACATTCTCTTTTGAACTATTACCTTACGGGAGTCAGTGTTTTATTTTTGGACTATAATGATTTTAGGTGACATTAATATGAAAATATGACTTGGGTGAAAGTGATATATATGATTCTCTTTTTTTCAATATATCTTTATTGATTTCAGAGAGAGGAAGGGAGAGAGACAGAAACATCAGTGATGAGAGAATAATTTATTGGCTGCCTCCTGCACGCCACCGACTAGGGATTAAGCCTGCAACCTGGGCATGTGCCTTGACCGGGAATCGAACCACAATCTCCTGGATCATAGGTCGATGCTCAACCTCTGAGCCATGCCCAGCCAGGTTATGATTCTCTTTTTGTATGGATTGTGAGTAAAAGCTTTACTTAGCAACATTCAGAATTTACTAGGCATAAAGAATGTACTAGGTAGACAAGCTTATCTTTGCCCTCACAGAATTTGTAGTCTTGTCAAAGAATGGCAGGGTAGCTCCTCACAAGTGCCACAAAAAGACCTAAATCAGTTTTTTTGGAAGTGTAGAAGAGGGAGAATCACATGTATTTGAGAGGTATAGGGAAGTTTTTATGAAAGTGCAGGCATTTAGTTGAGTCTTGATAGATGCATAAATCAAATTATCTTTGAAGAAATGGGGCTCCAATATGGTACATTTAATGAGAATGAAAACTGTCTTACTCAAGTCATTCTTGTCTTAGGTAGCAATTACAAAGGTGAGAAAATAAGAGATATTTTGCCTTTCTTAAATGCAGAGGGGAAAAATCATTATTGAGGTATAATTACTAGCAAGAAAAAAGAAATATATTTGTTCCTCTTGAACTTCTTAGTTTTGAGTTCTTGATTAGAAGGTTTTATTCCTATGTAATAAGTTTATATGAATTTAATAGATCTTTCAGTGATTTTTTTTTTTTTTTTTTTTTGGTCTCAATTCTGTCATGGTACCCTTGGTTTTTCCAGAACACTGTTTCCTTATATTTGGAAGTTTTTCATTCTAGTTCAGAGTCCTCAAAGAATAAATTTTATTTATCCTGAAGTCCTGCCAGGTAGATCTGCTCCAAAGCAGTAACTGCTGTCATCTTTCTATAATTTATCTAGACTTCCTAATAGGAAGGAAGTGAATATTCTTTAGCCCCAACACCACTTACCTACCCATCCAGGTAATTTCTTTATTAGAGATTAATTTCTCATCTGCCTGAGTTATATGTGCCACCTGAAAATGTTCTCTCGTCTTTTCTAGATATGGCCTCTCTGGCAGTGATGTCCTAGATAATGTAGCATATGCTCGTGGGTTCAACACAGACCACCAGACCCAGCTGCTTTATCAAGCATCAGCTATGATGGTAGAGTCCAGGTATGTGTTCAGTAGAAAACACTGTATATGCTCCCAGGACCCTTACCCTGAACCTTATATAGGCTATTTGGCCATATTGATAGTAGCTTGAATTAGAAATGAGAAGATTTAAGTTTTGGTTCCTATTTTGACACTCTTACTTTGTGATTAAACTCAATGTTAAAAAATGAAGCCATAGGCCTGGCTTGGTAGCTCAATTGGTTAGAGCATCATCCAGATACGCCAAAGTTGCAGGTTCCGTCTCCGGTGAGGGCACATACAAGAAGCAACCAATGAATACATAAATAAGTGGAACAACAAATCAGTGTTTCTCCCTCCCCTTCCTTCTAAAAATCAATAAATACAATTAAATAAAAACATAATCCACCTGTACTTATTGGAAATTTCCCTTTGTTATATGGTACCTCAGACACGAATGCTATACAAATGTGTTAATGAAACATCTATATACACATGTAACTATGAATATGATATTTTAGCATATGAGAGGAAGGAAGCAGAATCTGACATAAGCTAGAAATGGGCTTCAGAGAGTCCTTGTTCCCTGTAGGTATGCACTGCTGATTGTAGACAGTGCCACTGCCCTCTACAGAACAGACTATTCCGGTCGAGGTGAACTTTCAGCCAGGCAGATGCACTTGGCCAGGTTTCTGCGGATGCTTCTGCGACTTGCTGACGAGGTAAGTTGTCGCATAGGGACAGAAAAGAACTACTTTTAGGGGTCACGGATTCCAGGAGCCTTCCTGGGAAGCCAAGAAATCAGGGCCTGGTATCATCAAGATAAGTTAGATATGAAGAGAGACTTGAGTTGTTCACTGGTTTGTGGGGAAAAGGGGGGGAGCAGTATAGTCCTTGGAAAGTCTATGGCCACAAAAATGACATTTATCCTTTCTCCATCAGTTTGGTGTAGCAGTGGTAATCACCAACCAGGTGGTAGCCCAAGTGGATGGAGCGGCCATGTTTGCTGCAGATCCTAAAAAACCTATTGGAGGAAATATCATTGCTCATGCCTCAACCACCAGGTAAAGTGACGGGATAGATGACTTCATCTTGGAATGTCATGTTAACTATGAAGTAGACATGAAGATATAACATTTCCCTGTTAAAGCTACTCTTGTGTAATTAGAGCAGCCCTTGCTAGATCTAATTACCATGCTTTGGTTAGTATAGGTGTTTGCTTTTAGTTTATAAAAGAATTAAGCCTGGCTGGTGTGGCTTAGTGGTTGAGCACCGATCTAGGATCCAGGAGATTGCAGTTCAATTTCTGATCAGGGCACATGCTCAGGTTACGGGCATGATCCCTGGTTGGGGGCGTGCAAGAGGCAGCCAATCAGTGGCTCTCATCATTGATGTTTCTATATCTCTCCCTTTCCCTTCCTCTGAAACCAATAAAGATTTAAAAAACAAAAACCTAAAAGCCCTCAAATGTGGAGGACTGAATATGAAGAATTGATATGTCTCTTCATTATTAAAAGAATTGTTTTAATATGGAAAATCCACTGGGGAGAGGGGGCGGAAATGACAGGGCAGAAATGGTTTCCTCCAGGTTGGAAGTGCCCCAAGAAGTACAGGAAGGTTCCAAAAGTCGTTCTAGGAAACAAACATATTCAAATTTTTTTTAGTTCTACCATAAGTCGGAATAGAATTTTTTAATTATAACAACTTTGGTGTTTTGGTCTATGTCTTTGGCTCAGACTGTACCTGAGAAAAGGAAGAGGGGAAACCAGAATCTGCAAAATCTACGACTCTCCCTGTCTTCCTGAAGCTGAAGCTATGTTTGCCATCAATGCGGATGGAGTAGGAGATGCCAAAGACTGAATCATTGGGTTTTTTCCTGTGATGAACCTAAGTGCTGCAGCCTAATGGAGAAGACTGCTCCCTAGGGTTCTTTGCAGGCCTCTTCCTGTTGTGACTGCCAAAAAAAGGCTTCCGGAAAAACAGCTATTGTATTAGCTTTTCTGGTGGAGTAAACAGGCAACAGGTCCGTAGTCACAAACTGATCTGAAATGTTTATTCCTTCCCTAGAGAATATATTAATCTCTATGTGAGTTCTTTGGTTTTGGTGGGGGGCAGTTATGAAATACCTCTGACATAGTGCCCTGAGGTTGACTCAGAACTAACAGCTAGACAACCTTGTGTCTCTAAGAAAACTAACGTTGGGGAGACCTGACTTTTCTCTGTCTGAATAATGTTGAAAAAATGTCTGAGCAACGTGGCAAAAGGAATGGGTCTCCTCATACGTTCTTTTTCTCTGTCAGTAAAACTGTCAATCAGATGGAGGTTCTTAAGTTTGTGTGCCTGATATCTTGTGTAAGAATTTGGTTTTAGTTAAGGAGTATTAAGCAGACCTGCTGGGCCACTAGCCTTTTACCATCTACTTGCTTGGGCGTTTTTTTTTTATTGCTAAGAGTAACTCAAGATAATTTTGGAATCTTAGGCATTTCAGAGGCTTCAGTAGATTCACTGTGCGGCTGCTAATAAAGTAATTATTTGTGGTTTATAGGCTGTTTATAGGAGTTATTCTGGTACAAACTAAGTATTTCAAGATAGGGCCTTTATATCTTTTTGGCACTGGGTAGGGGTGATCAGTTTCTATTGCTTGAAAATTTAAAAGGGAAGTCCTACATTCAGGTGATTGAGCTTATTGTCCTTCAACCTAATAGATTAATACAAGATGTATATGTCATGGCTTTCCTGTGGCCATTGTTTTTATTCTGTAAGTCTCATGTTGTAGAGGTCTGATGCTTCCCTGGATTATTCTACTTCCAGGGTTCACAATATTATTCTTCCCCTTCACACTTCCACTCAGGATGGATTTTAACCAATTTCAGAGGACCTCTCAGCTAGTATTGGGAGGAAAGGCAGTGAAAATCTCTGCTGGTGCCTGTGTCGATTTTACTATATGTAGGAAGATAGGGAGATATAATTTAATGCAGCTTTGTTTTAAAAGCAGTTCTGGAGGTCTTCTCTTACCAAAACACAAACCTGGGGTGGTATAATAAAGCCACAGTGACAGATTCTGGAATGAAAGCTTGATTTTTGTATAAAAGCATCTCGGTCTTTTAGGACCTATAAAATATTTAAATACCTTTGACCTAGAAATTTGTCTCAATTTTTCTTGTAGGTGGGATTAGGCTTTGTGCTGCTGGCTCTGAGTGAACATGAGTGGGTCAGGGAACGCCTGCTTAGTTGGACTAGGCCAAAAATCAGCTCTCTGCCTGTGTTTTACAAGTAACTAAAATTTTCACTGAAATAGCATTAACCAGAGCTTATTCTAAACTCGCTGGTGCTATTTTTCTACTTGTCTGCAACAGCCTCTATAGTAGGAAACAGTTAAGGAAGTGTCAAGAGTAAGGAGCTGATAACAAAGATAGGGGGATATAATCACTTCTAGTCAAATTTGGTTTATTTTAAGTTGGTACCAAAATATATTCCAGGCAACTCCTCAGATCATCATTTCACAGTCTTATAAACTTTGTGCACTGCTACTGTTCCAAAAGCAGCCAAGACTGGAAGTCAAGTGGTCCAGCCCCTCAGCCCAGGATCACAGTTAGAATCCACATGATAGGTGAGAAGAGGGCAATATCCATGGACTACCAAGCCTTCCTTTTACCCTTGTAGGTAGGATGTGATCTTAGGACTATATAATCTGGTGTTGAATATTATTCAGTGAAAAAGATTAGAGAGTACAAGTTCTGTGTTTTGTTCCTATAGCTCTTTGAAGTTCATTCACCTTACCAGCAGTTGAAGGCAGCCTTCAGTTCTCTACCCACACTCAACCCTAGGACAAGTCTTGATTTTTCAAGAATTCACTTAAGGGAGAATACAACAGAAACCCAGGTCTCAAGTACCTCCCCAATTTCAGATTAATTAAGGGATTAGAATAAATTAGATCAGGAGTCAGGATACTCCCTTACCCAGTCTTGCTCAATTTCCTGATCTAAGCAAGGCCTAAGGGAAGACAGACCTGATTTTCATCCCCCTTAAGTAGTGGTATTTCTTAAGTCATGAAGGCCATTGAAATGTGTTTAGTGTCCTAAAATTACTTCCAATTCTTCCAGGTCCTTCTGGAAAGCTGAATCCTAGGGAGACAAGAGAACAAGACTAGGACCCAAAATCTATGCCAACATTTCCCAAACCACTGATACCCAAGAAGGGTCCTTTGCTTCCTTTCTGAGCTGTTATCATAGCACCTACATGCAAAAGTATACACTCTTTTCTAGGAAAATAAGATTTTGTGGGAAGATTTTCTTTCTTGAAAAGGTCCAGGGATGACTCAATGATAGAACCCAGTGTTACAAAAGCTCTTAAAAGCATTACCTCATTAGTGACGTCTGGCAGCTCCATGGCCAGCTTCACCCACTGTCTAGCTTCAGAGTTTTTTCCTAGTTCTCTGTAGCACTGAGAAGAGACAACAGTGAAAACCTGCGAGAAATACCTCCAGGATACTAGAAGGGGATAAGTAGGTATGCTTTTAGGAGTTAACAGAGTATTATCAACATACATACTTTTCATTTGTGTTGAAATAGGTGAGTTTACCTTGGAAATATACACCCTTCCTGCTTTGGAAAATCCTGGCTGTAGTTCTTCAGCCTGGAGGAAGGAGGAGGGCATTTCAGTAAGGTGTTCCCCAAATTCAAGTCAAGCTCTGAAGTATATTAGAGATTTCTAGTCCCCTACCTGGAGACTGATTTACAGTGGGTCTGGGGATTTAATTTTTTTATAAGCTCTCCAAGTGGTTCTGATTTTCCCATAGAAAAGGCAAACAAAATTGCCCCCTACCAGAAACCCAATAATGTCCTTAGGAAAAACAAGATCACCCAGGCATTTTTGGCTGCTGTCCGCCCCCTCCCTTCCTTCCTCCCGATACCTTTAGGAAGCTCTGGAGGGCATCCTCAACAGTAGCACTGAGAGGGCTTTCAAACAAGGCTGTGGCAGTTTTCTTTTCTAGCCAGCTCAGGTGCGCAACCTGCCACCAAAAAATCAAGGTGTGAATAAAAATTCTTTAGCAAGAATTTTTAGGAATATTGCATATTCTGTACTGAAAACAAACTCGGTTAAACAGGGCTGGGTCCTATCACAGTAACATGACCAAGAGGACATGGTCCTTTAGCCAGGCTGAGGCCCCTGCTCCCAAATTTTCACTGCAAGGAGATCAGTGTCACAGGAAACTGAGGCCCTTATATTAAGGCCTGGAATTTAGCTCACCTGGTAGCACCACCTGCCAAGGAGAAAGTGTGCCATGGGGTTTTCTGGCTGGAGAGCAAGAGCTTTATCCACATGCTCCTGAGTGGGAAAATGTAAATATAAACTAACATTAGACACCAGAGTTGATAAGGGGAAGAGGAGTGAGTCATAGAGGGGGTAGGAACACACTTTGCAAGGAGCTAGAAAGAGCAGGGAACATGGACAGCACAAGGGAAAGAAGAGACGCTTCTCACCTTGAAGCTAAAGCCACTCTGGATGCGCTTCTGGATGCCCTCATGCTCAGCCAGCTGGCCACAAAGCACTGCATACCTAAGGGGGAAAGCAGCAGCAAGCTCAGGGACAAGGGAGGGGCTTTCCACCCATGGACTAATGGCACTGCCTCTTGCCCCTGCACCCTCAACTAGAGCTGAAACTATCATTTCCATCTGTATATAATTCGTCTTTTCATAGACCTGTAGCCCCAGTGCATATTATTTTGCAAACTGGTAGGCGCTCCAAAGTATACATACTAAGTACCAAAAGGCTGGGTCTTCCATAGTAAATCTTAATATTTAGGCAAAGTCTTGGTCCAAATTTGTAACAAATTTCCCCTCATAGTAAGTACAGCCATAGGTATCATAAAAACTTGAAAAGCAGTTCTCTAATAATCAGCATCAAAGGGTAAGAGACCTGAGTACATTGCTTTTTGTCTCCAGAGCAGACAATAAAAGGTTTCATTAGCCTTAGACGTATACAGGTATACCATTAGTAAACTACTCTAAGACAATCAAATTGGGGTGAGATACTCTAGGAATTTCTGATGTTAACTTGGGAACCAATAGGAGCAGAGGAAGAAAGGCCTCTGATTTCAACCCTCTCCTTCCACATCCTTCTTCCCAGGGGAACAAAGCTAGCCACCTTCCCATCTTCTGTCTTCAAAAACAAAGGTCTCATTACCCCATTTATCCAGCCTTATTTCCAGAAGTACAGTTGACATTAAATGAGTGTCGAAAGGCCCAAGGTGCTTTTTCATATATTCATTAACTATCTGGGGGTATTTGTATCAGGTACTTCCAGAGGCTCATTTCCATGTTTAGCCCAAACAGCTGTTTCCCAAGAATACCTAAGAAAGCATGAAGCCAATTTCCATTCTTAGGAGTCCAGGAGCTACAGAGAAGCAGCACCCCTGACACCCTAGAAACTCTGATGACCTGGCCTCTGAGAAGACGCCTTGCAGAGATAAAATTTCTGCAACAGATAGAGAAGCTGCCTCTCTCAGCTCACAGTCTGAGGACAGATATGGGAAGCAAGAGGGGAGGTAAGGAAAGGAACATTTTCACTAACACTCTGAGGTGCTAGAGCCAGGCCCCAGGACACAAGTTGGCCCTGACCCATGCAAATTGGTGGAACTCTGCCCCACATGAGACCACAAACAGGGCTGTTGTTTCTGTGAGCTAATAAATTGACTATTGAACTTCCTGGGGGTGAACACACATCCCCTTATTCTCATGCATGCCAAGCAAAGAAGCCAAAGCCCACCACCAGCGAGGGATAGCAGCTAGGGGAAAGCGGTTGTGCAGGAGAGGGGAGCTGCAAATTATACCAGCCTCCCTGGGGATCCAAGAACCCACAAGTTTTGTAGATGGGATGGACTTACAAAGCTGCTCATTTCTCCAAGCCCCAACAGAAAGAAAAAAAGCCTGTATACTCTCCCTTGCTTCATCCTGAAGGCACATCACAAAGAACACTTCCCTGGGCCCCCAGCTGGGGGTAGGGCAGGGCATGTGGAATTAAAGGCCAGAGCTCCCCCTCCTGGTTCTTATGGCAAATGCTTTCGTGGCCAGGGCAGAAACAACAGAGCTCCACCCCCTCCACATAACCCATGCTGGCTCTTCACAGGACCCTGCAAGGTGTTATTACCATTGGTGACAGTAAGCATTCTCATCCCCCTTCTCCAGAGCGGCCTCCGCTTCTTCTTTTCCTGTAGGACGAAAGTGATCCAGAGTTGACAAGGGCTCCCATGCACACTTCCTAAGGGGGCTTCAGGAAGGACTGTTCCAATTCTTACCAATGCCTACCCAGCCTGGACTTGTTTGGAAATAGTTGTGAACTTGAACAGAATGAAAAGCTGCAAGGAGCTTCTCAGGGATGACTTCCGCTTCACCTCACCTTCCCAATCTCTGTCGTCAGCTGTCCCAGCTACCTTGTTTTTACAATACCCACTGATGTGCTCACAGCACTTCAAATAGAAAAGGACTCAAAGCCAATCTGAAGTTGCTGCACAGACCTGACCCTGGAGAGTTTTTGATTTAGGGTCTGTGATAGACTTCAGGGTATCCATGAATCCCTCTAAAGTTGTATAAAATTTTAGGTACATGTGCATTTTATTGGGCAGAGGGTCCACAGCTTTGATAAAATTCTCAAAAGGATCCTTGTTCCAAAAACATTAATCACAGCTCTAGGCCAAAACTCATCAGAGCCAAATGAACTGAAGTATGACCAGAGGTGACCTTTCACTTAGTCAAGTTTTCTAGACACCAAAACTAACAAAGAAATTGAGGCCTAAATACGTGAAAGGTCTTGCCAAGTCCCCTTGAGTGACAAGGAGCCTGGAGCCCTCCAGATGACCATTATGCCTACACAATGGAGATAATAGCACCCTGAAAAATGGGACTTCTTTGATTAAAATGGAGAAGGCCTGGAAGGGAACATTGAGAAAGTGGAACAAAAGTAATGTGTTGAGGTGGCACACTGGCCAATCTGAAATGTTTCTTCATCCTTGAGTGATAGTAATGACGGCATGCTGTATATGCAGCAAATTCATTTTAAGACGGCTGGTGAGAATCCTCTATCTCCCATTCCAAACAGAAGGACGATGCTCCCACCAATGAGGGACATTTTCTCTTAAGGGATTTTTCTCTGCCCCTTTAAAGTACTGTCTTGCTAGGAAAATAATAGTGAAGAATAAGAAATAGCTCCTGCCAAGTTAGACATAGGGGTGAACAGATATTGCCTGAGATCCCAAAGAATGGTTGCCTCCTAGTTGTCCAGCCTCTAGAGCTGGAACAAAATGAAGAACTTTAGACCTGGCAAGGATGGTTGTGAAAAGCTGGAGTCCCAGAGCAGGAACAGACTTGTGCAAGATGCTAAACTCAGGAAACCAGGCCAGTGCTAGCTGTGGCTGTTCTTAGTAAGAGCTGGTCAATGACCAAAGGGAAAGGAAAGGTTCTTGTTGATACCAGAAACCCCAAAAGCTGATCAGAATCCTCACTTGAAATTTAGATGGGAAAGCAGAAACTTAAAAAGAGAGAAGCAAACAATAGTACCTTTTGTTAAAATTTCCAGGGATTTTTCTGAAGATCTATAACAATAAACATTTGACTCAATTGGCCTGTTCTTTTTATATCAGCTTGCTAATTCTACAAAAGTTTAGAACAATGACCCTGAGGAATCGTCAGATTCTACATTATCAAAGATTCAGTAACATTTGCAAGGCTATACGTTTAAAAGTGGGAAAGTAGACAAATCCACTTTAGGTAACTGAACCACAAGATCTGGAAGCCCACTGAGGGTGCATGACTCTGGTTTGTAGATAGGCAGGACACATCACTGTCCCCACAAAACCAGTCATTTTTTATTCAGACATGCTCAGAGATAGGAAGGGAAAGAGAAACATTGATGTGAAACATCAATTGGCTGCCTTCCACTTACGCCTGACCAGGGATCGAACCCACAACCCAGGCATGTGCCCTGAACGGGAATCAAACCAGCAACCCCTCAGTGCACAGGACAACGCTCCAACCAGCTGAGTCACTCAGGCCGGGCCAGTAGCTTTTTTTGTTGTTAATCCTCACCTGAGGATATTTTTTCCCACTGATTTTTAGAGAAAGTGGAAGGGAGGGAGGGGGAGAGAGGGAGAGAAACATGAGAGAGAGACACTGGTTGGTTGCCTCCTGCACACACCCCCACTGGGGCTGGGCATCGAATCTGCAACCCAGGTATGTGCCCTTAACCGGTAATCAAACCCACAACCCTTCAGTGCACGGGCCAATGCTCTAACCACTGACCCACACCAGCCAGAGCTGGGCCAGTCACTTTTTAAAGTCCCAGGATTCTCAGTGACTTCATGGTAGAGAGGGATGAGCCCTGAGCCTGGTGTAAGTCAGATGCACCCTATCCCCCAGGGCACAGATTTGGCAGCAGAGCTGCTAAGTAGATCCCAGAGACTTCTAACCTAGCAGTATTCTCCCAAACTACTTACAGGAGCTCAACAAATATACTCCACTCATATTCTTACCACACCTGCCTCACAACCTCCGTAACTGAAACCAGAGTCCTAAACCACAGCAAAAAACCTCTTCAGATTAAGAACGGATCGCTTCTCGGCCTTTTGGCTAAGATCAAGTGCAGATTAAGAACGGAGGTTTTGCCCTCTTTTGTGTTTGGGGAGTGAGAACAAAGAATTAGGGCTTATATGATACAAGTACTCCTAAAAGTGTGCACTAGTGATGCTCAAACCACAAGGATGTGCAGAAAAGCAGAGACTGTTCTCTGTATCAAGGAAGCAGGGGTCCCTGGGAGTTCAAGTTTGTCCCTAGTGAGTAACTGAGCCACAGCTGCCCTGACAGTCTGCATCTTGGTGGTTTCTCTGGACCCCAAGCAGATGGACTAGCTCCACCCCCACAATCAGTCAGTCACCTTCCCATCAGCAACCTGTCAACACTTACCATTTAAAGCATATGACTTCTTCTCGCTCACCTCCTCAGTGAGCTCACACATGTCACTGTAGGCCCGGGCCAGGCGCCAGAGAAAGTCCTGCCGACTTCCATACTACAGACCAAACAGAGAAAGGGATGGAGGCCCCTCTTACTCAGAGAAGTGGGACTCTGGCCTTTCCACACCCTACATTTGAGTTTCCAAGCTAGTGTGTTACAGATGCTGACATTATACCAGTTTTATGCATAGACCTCCAGCCCCATACCACCTCCCTTTTCTTGGGCATTTTCACATTTTATTTCATTGTGTCAGCACGACTTCTTTTGTTGTGCCTTGTTACATCTTGGAGTTGACCTTTCCTCTTTACAGTATCTGCTAGCCACAATGCCCTCCCTCTGCAGTAGTGCCCACAAAAAAGGGAAAATTCTAACTTTGGGGGCATTTATACTTGGGTGAGCATAAATTCTGGCAGTGAACTTGAGGAAAAGGGAATTTTGATTAAATGAGCTACACACTTAACCGTAGAGGTGGTGCCCAGCCAGGAGTGGCTCAGTGGTTGAGCACTGACCTAGAATCCAGGAGATCGGGGTTCGATTCCCAGTCAGGGCACATGCCCAGGTTGTGGGCTCAATCCCCAGTTGGAGGCATACAGGGGGCATTGATCAACTGACCAATGGCTCTCTCATCATTGATGTTTCTATCTCTTTCTCTCCCTCTCTTCTGAAATCAATAGATATATTAAAAAAAACACAAAAAAACCCTAGAGTTGGAAACCAAGTGAGACAGGCAGCTTGGGTTCTGCCTCAAAGGAAATAAAAGGACATTCCAGTTCTCTCCACATTTCCCTCTACTGAGAGGTGGAGCTCTTGTACTATGTATAAGAGGCAGAGGACTGCCTGCAGGAGGAAGCTCTAGAGCAGGCATAAACCTAGGGCCCTGGTGGCAGCATTAATTTTTATTTTTTATTGATTTCAGAGAGAGGAAGGGAGAGGGGGAGAGAGAGAGAAACATCAGTGCTGAGAGAATCATTGATCAGCTGCCTCCTGGATGCCCCCTACTGGAGATTAAGCCCACAACCCGGGCATGTGCTCTGACCCAGAACTGAACCATGACCTCTTGGTTCATGGATTGACGCTCAACCACTGAACCACACCGTCTGGGCCTAGGGGCAGCATTTAGCCCCTTGGAAGAGGATGCTCAACCCTAGAGGAAAGGTGCAGAACCAGCCATCTCACCCTCATTTACCTTCCCATGTCACTTTGCAGGTCAATAACCACAGTGGCCTGTTCTTGTTCCCTAGGAGTCAGGAGGGAGGGAGGGAGAGGGTGGACAGGCAGGCAGCTGGAGCCTCACCGCTAGCTTGTTGTTGAGCAGCAGCTGGAAGCCTTCCCGCTTGCTCTGCTCACTGCCCTGGTGCAGCTCGTCAGCCTGCTGCAGGAGGGGCAGCACATCCTCCAGGCCAGGTAAGCCTTCAGCCTCCAGGGCTCTGGGAACCGGGCCTGAAGCCACCTCTGCCTCCAGGTCCAGAGAATCCCTTCTCCCAATCTTCACGGTCTCACAGCTCACTTCATCTTCCCCGTCTTCACTCTCCCTGTCAGAGTCCCGGTCATAGTCAGATTCAGCATTAGCTGTTGTGTAACTGTGGCAGAGAAATGTAAGTTACAGGGTCAAAGGAGGGGATAATTCAGCCTTAGAGCCCTAGGGTCTGTCCCCTACCCACAAAGAGGGACTCCATCACACTTGTCCAGAGCACCAAGTAAGAACCATTCCCCCACTTGTGGGCAAAAATTAATCCTCTAGAGAAAACCTCCTATGGGGACTAGGGGCTGGGAAAATGATTTAGGAGAAGAGTGGCCAACTCGGGGTGCTCTGACAGTCAGGGGCCATTATGAGAACCCCCTGCTTAGCTACTACCAAGTCTGCCAGAAAATAGAAAGAAAGAAAAGCCTAGAAAGGTATGTACCAAAATGTTGCCAGTCTACCACTCAGGGTAGAAGAATTAAAAGAAAATCGTTGCTCTGGCCGGTGGCTCAGTTGGAGCGTCATCCCGAATACCAGAAGGTTGCGGGCTCAATTCCCAGTCAGGGCACATACCCAGGTTGCAGGTCTGATCCCTGGTTGGGGTGCGTACAGGAGGCAACCAACTGATGTTTCTATCTCACATCAATGCTTTTCTCTCCTTCCTCTTTGTCTTAAAAAAAAAATAAATAAATAAAAAACATCATCAGGTGAGGATTAAAGAAAATTTTTAAGGAAATTATTTTTCTATTTTTTTTTTTTCTATCTTTTAATATGAATGCTTTAGTGAGCATATAGTCTTATAAGTAAAAAAGAAATGAATGTTTAATATAAAACTTCAGCCTTGTCTGGGTAGCTCAGTTGGTTAGAGTGCCATCCCAGTATACCAAGGTTGCAGGATGGATCCCCGGTAAGGGCATATACAAGAATCAACCAATGAATGCATAAGTAAGTGGAACAACTGCCCTAGCTGATTTGGCTCAGTGGTTATAGTGTCAGCCTGCTGACTGAAGGATCCCAGCTTTGATTCCGGCAAAGGGAACGTGCCTTAGTTGCAGGCTCAGTCCCTGGCCCCGGTAGCGGTGCATGCAGGAGGCAACCAGTCAAGGTATCTCTCTCACACCGATGTTTCTCTCTCTCTCTTTCTGTGTCTCCCTCTCCTTCTCTCTCTCCCTCCCTCCATTCCACTCGCTCAGAAAAGCAATGGAAAAAATATCCTTGGGTGAGGATTTTTTTTTTAAAGTGAAACAACAAATCGATTTTTCTCTCTCTCAAATCAAATAATTTTTTTAAAAAGAGAAAAACTTTAATGTAGGTGGAGCTGATCTCCTGAGCTAGATGGCTCACCAGACTCAGGGTTTGTCAATTATTTTTGCTTTATCAGCCAAAGACACCTGTCAGAACCAACATGAGTGGGTGCCAGCCTCTGAGGCCATGGGCAGCGACAGATATCCACATTTTTTCTTTCTCAAGTCAACATGTCTCTCTATCCCAAGTCAGCCACCAAACCTAAACTACAATAGGAGTAGCCCTTGGAAAGCTTTGGAATTGCTGGGGGTGGGGTGAGGGCCATTTGCAGCTAGAAGCAGGAGAGGAGAAAGATGCAAACAGAGCCCCCTGGGAAGGTATCTCTGGGGCACCATAAGCGCGTGGTCTCCTGGGGAGCCCCAACCTTGGTGCACCCAATGAAGAGAAAGCTAAGTTTCTCTCAGATCATGGCCTCTACCAGTAGCTGATTAGGGTATTTTTTCCTAACTGCCAACTGAATCAGACAAAAACATCAGGGGAGAAGATAGGATTTCCAGGGGCCAGAATCAGACACCAGAGAGTCCTCCGGACTGAGTGAAGGAAAAGCAGGCTCTGTAAGCCAGAAGGTTCTGAAGAACACGGAAGACCTTTAGAGATAAGCCTGCCTCCATCCCGGAATGAAAGATAGGAGAAGGATCCCTACTGCTGGAGCAAAACAGAACTGAAGGAGAGAGAGGAGCTGAATGCTGTAGGCCAGAAAGCCAGAAGGGCAAGGAAGAAGACTCCATCTAGAAGGTACCAGGTGAGTAATCCATGCTGACTGCTGCTTTATAGAGGAGCTTCCAGAATCCTCTAATGAAGGGGCCCTAGAAACATTTACTCTAGGAACTTATAAGGTATTTAAAACCTTCTTAATTTCACCCTGCTTTTTAAGAGGTTATCCAAGTATCTTTCCCCTCTAGCAATTTTCAGTAAAAACTTTAGAAATTAAAAGGACAAGGAAAAGTGGCATCAGATTTCATAATCAACCTGGGTGGTGATGAGTGAGACCACACAGGGGCATCCTAGAGAAACTCCCAACCCGATTCCTACGGCCTGGACAACAACCTGCCCCTACACAGCCCAGCCAGGCCCGAAGGCAAATGGGTGAATGGGTCATCTGGGGTGGAAAACTTGAGTCTCATCACCTCCAGTTGGTAGAAAGGAGAAACCCCATTTCCTGCTGGACTGAAGGCTGTCTTGGCCAATTAAGGAGTTCAAATCAGGAGTCTCCCAGGAGGGACGCCTCTCTTACGCTAGAGCATGGTCATCAGCAGTCTCTCCAGGTTACTAAGGCAGTAGAAAAGTCCTACAATTTTCAATCCCTCTGGGTCCTAAAGGCCAAGGACAAAGGTCAGGAGGAGCTTTATTGCCACCCACAGTGAGAAGTGGTAGAGCCTTGCAAGACAGGGAGGCTCCAGAAAGGCTGGCACACTGAGGAGGCTTTTTATTGCACCTCAGCCCCACTTTGAGGCGCTCTGCCTCACTAATTTGCAGGCCTGCTGCCTGGCATGCAGTGGGCAGCTGACACTTGCTGAGTGAGCACTGACATCAGCCCCATGGGCTTCCAGGGCTTGAGAAGAAATTGATCAAGTGCCAGAGCTGCCAGAGCTACATTGGCTGCCATCCCTATATTCAAATCATGTTCTCATACCTCTTGGACCAACCCAGTCCTTCGAGAAATCCACCAGAGAGAGAGAGAGAGGGGGGGGGGGGGGGCCTTTTTTTTTTTTTTTTTTT